GAAGGGAAGGGAAGGGAAGGGAAGGGAAGGGAAGGGAAGGGAAGGGAAGGGAAGGGAGAAACGAATGGAATTAAACAAGAAGATTCAAATATTAGACTATATTAGGATGTTCCAGTTTCCATTTAGCTATAGTTTTCTAGTCAGAATCTTTCAGTCCAACCTTGTTCTGAGGATAAAATTGTAGAGTGAATATAATATCCATTTCTTTAAGCACTTAGAAAAAGTTATATAAATGCAACAAAAAAGATAGGCTTTCAGAAATAGCAACATAGGGTGAACCAAATATAGAAATCTATACTTTTCCCGTTTTTTTATGGAAACAGTGTAATACAATTGCTAGTAATTGTAGATAATATGAGAATCCAGTAACATGGAAAATATGTCTAAAGTAACTTTCTCAAAGACATAAAATAATTAGATTCTACTTGAAATGTTTTGGTTTTAACTTTTTTTAAAAAAGCAAAAAGCAAACAGCTCTAAGAAAGAAAAGCAAAAGCAACATATTTTGAGGGAAGAAAAAAATTAGTAATTTGTTCTTTCTACATAAACACAATATTAAACAGTGAATAGTACAAGTTATCCCCTCATAAACATTGATTTTTAATGCTTCTGAATATAAACCAAAACTGTGCTAAAGTTACAATCTATGGTGTAAGTCTCAAAAATTTATTAGTGATTCTAAACCTCTTTCCCCCAAAAAATCCATAAAAGCAATGGGGTGCTTTTTGTTTTGCCTCAGGAAAGCAACATAGGGTGTTTAGGTATATAGCTGCCATATAAATTAATGCAATTTCTTTCATCTGCCTCCCACACACAGAGATAGACACATGTACACATACATACGCTAATCTATCTTACATGGGTAATGAATCCTGTATTTTGCCATCTGCATCTTTATACATAGCAGCTGACATCACTTCTTCCATCGGACACATGATGCCGTACTCTTCACAGCCATTTTCTTGAACCAATGGATCCATTTTATGTGGATCAAACATTATATTATTTGGTGTCACTAGGAGCACACCAGTGACAGTTCCCTAAGATAAGAAAAAAGGTAATCAAACTTCCTGCAAAAATAAACCAAACCTTTTCAAATTATGTCTAGGAGTGACCTAATTACTTATTGTTTAATGAATTCTGGGTATTTCTGCAAAAGCCTATCAAACACATTCAACTTTCTTATAAACCATTGAAAAATTATACAATAATTTCTGGGGAATACAATATTTAAGGAAAAACAGAAGTCATTATTTTGTAAATTGAAGATAGTTTTAGCTATAAGTCAGAGACTCTGTAAGATAATCTGTTATTTAATTTAATTTTTTAATTGAATAGCTCTGTCTTTAATGAACCTTAATATGCACTTAAAATTTCAGCATAGTTATATTTCCATGGAATATCAAACAATTTTAAAAAATAGCAGTAATTTTCCAATATAAGTCATAGCACAATTGATAGCAAGTTACAAAACACCATATTCCCAAAAGTTTATGAAATTCATTGCTTGTGGTTAATTTAATGAGGCCTTTATCTATACATAAGCACCTAATTTTTCAAGATGCTGTCCCCAAAAAGGAAAGATTCCTGTGCATTTCTGCAAATATGAATTGTCTGCATTTCAAAGGGCTATCTCTGAAGAAGCAGAATTTAAATAACTTATTGGTGTAACTCTGATACGTTAAAAGGACCTCATTTTTAACCTCAGCTGCCACCCTGTAATAAAGAAGAGAGAAACTACATAATGAAAGAAGACTGAACCCTTTTAATTTGCTTCTTGGAAGATGTCATACAACTTAAGGATCCTATTCTTGTTTCTCAGGAATAAATACCTTCTTGATACTTGACATTTTTTTTCTTCTAATGATGAGCAAAATATTAAATGTTAGCATCAAATTTCAAGCTTGCCTGCTCAATGGGAAAATTGGCAATGGTGCATTCATTTTTATTTAATTCACAAATGAGGAGGCATTCGAAGCATATTTCAAGGCTGCATCTTGCTGATTCCCATACTGTATTAACACTTTTCTTGCACAGGGTAATATTCTCAGTGAGTATGATGAAAAATGATAAGGTATTCCCTCTTAGGAATACTCTCTTTTTGTGAGAGAGACAGGAAAACTACCTCATGGTCTAGTTAAAATAGTTCAGTTCCTTTCAGTTCAGTTCACTGAATTAGCTGAAATAACAAACCACAAATAAAAGCAAAAGAATAAAATCTTACAAAGTTTATGTTTGGTGTCTACTTTATTTTATGTTACTGAGAATTAGGCTTTCAGTTATAAGACTCTGTGGTGTAATGGCTAATATATTGAGCCAGGATTGGAGAAACCCTCTCCCGTGGAAGTTCACTGGGTAACTTTGGGACAGGCACTTTCTCTTAACTCAACCTATAGCTCCAGAGTGGTGGTTGTGGGGGAAAAAATTGGAGGAAGGAGTGCTATGTATGTTGTTTGAGATCCTGTAGAAAAGGTGGGATCTAATAAATAATACATAACAAATGAAATTGGGAAAAGATAAGAAAATTGTCTCTCTCGCACGTGTGCACACACACACACACAGACTGGAGCCTATGTAACAACTCAGAAATATTTTAAGAAACCTAAGTATGTGAGTATCTAATTAAATTAGAGTCAAATTAAAAAACAAGATAAAAGCAATTCTTCTTTGAAGTATATAAAAGCTTTTGCTTATAAGATCAATTTGATAAGTTTTTGTCTTTGTAGGCTGGCAGACAATCAGAAGTATTTATTTTGGACTTGCAGCTAGGATAAAACTCTTCTTGGTTTTTATTCGGTTCACCACAGAAAGTGTCAGAGGAAGGAAAAGGACGCACAAGAGCAGGACATGGACTGAGCTATAATTACCTAGTACAGATTGAAGAACAGATATATCCTTATGCTTTTACTAACAAAGACTGAGGAAAGTCTACAGAGAAAAATACTTTGTGTGTCATTCTGAATGTGTTTGACTTAGGTCAAAGGAAGGAAAGGGAAAAAAAAAGGAGGAAACAAAACTTGATACAGGCAAGATGCAATGAGGGAACTGGATAGGGAAGGAAAGAAGAGAGAGAAAAACCCATGCATTTTAGCAGTGATCTACAATGCCACTTAATCATTCCTTTGTTTTTAGCAGTGGCGGCTATTCTTATTGGGTAAGAAATGGGTATTCTCAAGAATAGCAGCTCTTCCTCTACCTAGTTACCATACCATTTCTTTTTATTGCCATTCCTTGCTGGAAGGAGAGATGTGAATCTGAATGCAACTCTGAATAGTTCTGCACAAGTGTTGTTTGAATGTGAGCTGCAAACTTTGGTAAATGCAGATGGAAAATTAATTAATTAAATAACTGGGGTATCTTTTTAATAGCCAGTTACTTTTAATGAGTAATTTTTTTTCTTATCCTGACTGTGCTCCTACCCCATTTTTTGGTGGGGTGTGTGACTTCCCCAAGTTACACCCAGAGAGACAAAATAAAACATATGCACATATTTACTGAAGGAGAAATTAGATTCAGCTGTAATTGCTAATACATTAACAAGCACTATAAGGAATTTCTGTCTGCAGGATTTTTATTTTCTAGCTTGTCTTCCTTTTGAGGAGATCATCTTGAATTCAGGGAACATCCTTTTTTTTCCCAATTAACACAGTAATTTTTGGTGGAAAAGTTGGTTGGTTTGGGCAGCGTCTATCAGATTTCAATGCTGGAAGTGAATTAACGGTTCTATAGCATAATTGGCTGAGAATCCTCATCTATTCCTATTGTCTCAGACCTTTAGATGAGAATAGAAAAAAATAGTCTGAATATTAAGATTGTGGAAGCATGTACACAAGAACCCTTAAGAATATGACTATTCATAAAAAATAACAGAACTCTATGATCCACGTAATCAGTAAAAAACACATGTGTACCTTCTGCTGCATCTGTCAATTCAGCTACTTTTTTTTTCATTAGATATTGCTATCATTACTGTGACAAACAAAATGGATGAATGTGGCATGTAAATGTATAGCTTTGATAAAGGTGTAATGTTAACCATATTTGTAACTAGTATAAATTAACTACCAGAATTTTTCTATTCCAAAGGAAAATTTTCAAGTAATTTAGGCAAGACATTATTTTATATAAGAAACATATCATTCTGTACCTTATTACTAGTAATGTATTTACAATTGATCTTGAGAAATTTCTCTGTGAAAGCTTCTTCCTCTTCTGATGTGGATGACACAACTCTTGTAGACCGAACACATGTATATCCTGGTATGGCTGTTGTTTCTTTCCTTTGTACTCCATCTGAATCCTACAGAAACAAAAACTTCAGTGATGGAACCAAAAATAGACGTGTTTTATAAATGTAGTGTTATCCTTGCCAAACTCTATGTACTAGAACACAGAAGTTCAAAAGCATTTAAATGATAAAAGTGAGTCATTTTAAAACCACTATCACATGTGATAGAAATGAATTCTATAGACAATATTAAATCACAAGTATTGGTATATTAAGGTTCTATAGTATTTTGCAACCTATTTAATCTATTGCCAGCTTGGTCTAGTAGTTAAGGCACCAGGCTAGAAAGCAGGAGACTGTGAGTTCTAGTCCGGCCTTAGGCATGAAAGTCGGCTGGGTGACTTTGGGCCAGTCGCTCTCTCAGCCCAACTCACCTCACAGGGTTGCTATTGTGTGGAAAATAGGAGGAAGAAGAAGTATTAGGTATGTTCAATGCCTTGAGTTATTTGTAAAAATAATGAAGGCGGGATTAAAAATCTAAAACAAAAATACAGAGAAATATGCATTATAGTTTTATCTAATATTAAAGATATGTTCAAGATACCAAAGCTGCTGTCCAAAGTCAACATCCACATCACCCTTTCAAACTACCTGATAACTGAAACAGATTTTAATATCAGTGTGCCTCAGCTCTGATCAGATCAATGAGGCCTACAGACTGCAATTTGGCTACTCTTCAGGAATGCTCTCCTGGGAAAAAATATTTCAGATACACGCGCGCACACATACACACACACACACTTACAGTTGTCTTCTCAGCCTCTGCTTCTGAAGATGTAGGTGATAAAGGACTTTCAGGACTAAGTGAAGGGGAACTCTCCACACTGGAAATATACTCTGGATCAGGAACATATAAAACCTATAAAAACACATTTTTATTAAATCTGATTTAATAGATTTAGATATTATTAATTTAAAAAGTAATAAACTATTTGCACAAGGCTTAGAAAGAGGTGTCTGCAGAAATGTCTTGCAGAAAATTGCAAACTTTTTTAAGATTACGATCTAAACTTTTCTGAATTGGTTTTGCATAAATCAGTAGGCACTTATAAAAAAGGTACCAAAATTACATATTATCTAATATTTCATGAAATGTCCTGTGCACAATACATATTTTATTTTACTGTGTTTATCATCAATTAGCTCCTTAGAGATTGCTTAGGATTTCATACCCACATGACAGATCTGTGAGTGCAAAATCACTCTTTCATTCAGGTAATCATTGTACTTTTACTCCAACAAAGACTTTATTTCCCTTTTACAGGAATTTTATACAAATATTTTCTCTAATAAACTTTGAAAAATAATTAAATGTATGCCCTTATTTTTAAATGACTGAACTGTCCCGTTACTCAGGGTAACCTGCTAGAGCCATGACTCTTCTCTATTTAAACTTTCAAATGGATCTGGGGCTGCAGCTTTAAACCAGATCTACTCCTGCCACACAGGTAGTCCTCAACTTATGACAACTGGGACCGGAACTTCAGTCACTAAGATTTTATTATAGTTTTTGCTGCAGTCATTAAGTGAATCATCCTGGTCATTAAGCGAATTGTGCAGTCATTAACTGAATCCAGCCTCCCCCATTGACTTTGTTTGTTGGAAGCCCCCTGGGAAGATTGCAATGGCAATTGCATGACCCTGAGACTCTGCAACTGTCATAAATACATGCCAGTTGCCAAGCACCCAAATTTTTATCATGTGACCATAGGGATGCTGCAATGGTCCTAAGTGCAAGGACCGGTCATAAGTCACTTTTTTCAACACCATAACTTCAAATGGTCATTAAACGAATGGTCATAAGTTGAGAACTACCTGTATTTTGGCACCCAGCCAAAATTGAAATTTTAATGCCAATTCATTCATGTCAGGAAGGTCCTGAATTACCCCCCAATATTTTACATTTCTCCTCCATGACACAAGTTAGCCCTAGCCAATGGAAGGACTACATAAAATGCTAGATAAACTATTAATTAGTCTTCATCTACCTCTACTTCTACTATACTTATCTTGTTTAATAGATAATACCTGTCCAGGAACAACTGCTCTGGAAAAGAGCTTGTTTAACTGCACCAATTCATTAGGAGTAGTATCAAACTTCAAGGCCACAGTATTCAAAGAATCTCTTGATTCAACCTGTTTAGAGAACATAAATTTATTAAGTGATATATGGAGTAAAGTCTTCTTTAAATTCAGGCCTGCACCTCACTAGGTAGGGATTGAAATAGACTAAAACAAGAATTCAGTTGCTTCTGGAGTTGAACACATTCCAAAAATAAAAAGACCAACATACAGTGATACCTCGGGATACGAACTTAATCCGTTCCGTGACTCTGGGCGTATCCCG